TCAGTGCACGGGAGTCTTGCTTATTGGGGCTGCTCCAGTCTATGCTTGGGCTTCCTTCCTTCTTCCTTTTCATTAAACTTGTTTCAACAGAAACTAATCCCGAACAGTGGACTGAGTGGCAGCTTTTACTCCAAGATGGGTTTTTCCTATATTATAGCTTTCATGAGAAGTTATATTATGTAGTTCGCTCCAGTCATAAAAATCCTTAGTAGCTCAGATATCTAATAGACCGGAACTTTTTTTAAAGTCTTATTTTCCTATGGAATATCTGAGTGTTTGTGTTCCCACACAGTTCCTATCTGTGATCCTAACCCTGAGAGTGGTGTTACCAAATAAGCCTTTTATGTGATTAGATTATGAGGGCAGAATCTTCCTGACTGGCATTAGTAGTCTTATGAGGAAGGTCTTAAAGAATTGTCTTTTCTCTACGTGGGGGCACAGGCAGATGTTTCCATGACCAGAAAGTGGACTCAGAGAGTGAATCTGCTGTTCCATTGACCTTGGATTTTCCATTCTCCAGAAATATGGGAACCACCTTTCTATTATTTAAATGGTACTCAATGATAGTATTTTGCTACAGTAGTTCAAAACAGACTAAGAAAATGCAACATACTTCAGTTTGTCAGGAAGTTAAGAAGGGGGAGAGACATAAGAACTTAAACCATTATTCAACAAACAATGTATTTTTTGGTGGCATGAATCCTCAGGATTTAGAATGTAGAATGCAATCTGTATCTCAGATACCAGTCCTCCCATGTGCAGTGCATTAATTATTCACAGTAGCCAGTTGTGAAAGGGGCTAAGTAGGCAGCGGCAAAAAGGATAGATGAACTAGTAGAGAGATCTTGCTTTTTCTAGCAGCATGAGAGAAACCTGAAGGACAAGCTGCTATGTGCAATAAACCTGACACATAAATGTACATACTGCACGATCTCCCTTATAAATGATACCTGAAATAGTAAAATCGGTTGACAACAGGAGGAAAAAGATGGTTGCTGAGACTGAGTGCTGGAGGAAAATGGAAAGATGTTGGTCACAAGGAACAATGTTTCAGTCACAGAAGGTAAGTAAAATTAGGAAATCTTAACAGTGTGAGTGTAACAAATTCTGTATTGCATCATATACTTGAAAGTTACCAACAGGGTAGATCTTAAGTGTTCTTACCACATATTTATATATTTATATTATGTGTGTGTGTGTGTGTGTGTGTGTGTGTGTGTGTGTGTGTGTGTGTAATGATATCAATCTGTCTACCTGCAAAATGTGCTGGGACAATGGTGGCACGTAACTTGAGAGTAGCTAACCAATGTCTGATTTTACTTCAAGGCCCACGCCACAAGAGGGAGTCCCTGCCTGCTGATGGCCATGTCACAGGAGCAGCAAGTGGAAATTGAAGTTCCAGGTGTCAGCCCACCAGGAGGAAAATCCCTGAAGGGTGAATCTCAGTTAGGCAGGGCCCCAAGACCACAGACTCCAGAATGTCTTTTGCTTCTGCTGTGCCTTTACATATTTGCTGCTGCTATCTTTCTCTGGTATCTGGCATGGTGTGAGCAGGTGTGGGAGATCCCCACTTCCTGTAATGTAATGTATTTATCTCATGGATACATCTTGTTCTACTGGGCATTTTTACCTGTGGATTATTATGAAGATGATTTCTTCCTAAGCTGTTTTGTCTAAGTGATAATAATAATGTTAGTTTAAATAGAGTTTTGATGATTAGAAATATAAATAAGGAAGTGTCACACAGCTAGAACATGTGAGTTTCTATTGAGGAGTCATATAGACTGTGGCTTAGGTTAATGATTAAGAAAAAAAATTGAGTCCCAGTAGCCCAGCTAGCTTAAAATCTTTTAATGCTAATGTTGGGAGATGTGTTCACAGGTTTCAGAGTGCATCATAGCTGAAACATAGCTTTGAAAATAACTTAAGTTAGACTAAGATGTTTTTGTTAAGTAGCTTTGAGGTGAAAAACTCAAGAAGACAATCTAAAGTTTTAGAAAGGTACATCATTGAGTGAGGAACTCTTTAAGGTCAAGGAACAAGAACAAAGCAGCCCAGTTATCATTAGCTGACCTGCCTTTCTTGCTAGGATTGGTTGATGACCAAAGGTGATGATTAATTCCTTATACCCATTTCTACCCTCCATCTCCTGATATAAAAACTATTGATGAGTGGGCATGCACCCTGAAGATTTAAAGTAGAGCTGACTGGTTGTTTTTCATGCATAAAAGCTTAGGTTTGTGATTCCTTTAAAATTACCTTTCAAGGTAAGTAATAAAGTGATTGATTCTTTCTTTGTAACTGCAATATGCAGCCTGCCAACAAAAGAACTGACTGAGAAAAGTACCCTCTGCTTGTCCATAATCTGTTAATCTGTAATAAATTACTTAGATGTAAATGTATGTGGGTTCTTGGAATGACTTTGTTTTAATCACGTAAGGGAGATGAAAAACATGTTTTTACCTGTATTCATTATAATCATTCACTTGAAAAATAGAATGTAACCACATTGTAATGCCCATATTGCCTGAAAAATTTTGTTGGGGTATATAAGCTGTGAAAAAGAAGTATACAGCAGAAGAACAAAGAAGGAAACCATCAAGGGGAGTGTCTTTTCCCTTGACCCCCTCAGATAAAAAAAAAAGTCGTGGTATGCACCAACTCTGTGGATTTCTTTCAAGTCCTGTGCTGCTAGAGGCTGGACCCCCAGGCAGTGATACATGCCCTACACTGACTGGATGACCAGAAACCAGAGACTGGCTAGCCCAGAAATCTGGGGTAGAACCAAACATGGCTGGTCCTTAAAAGAAGAAAAAAATCAATGAAATTATACCTAACGATATTCTGTCGTACGGATAGATCAGTGCCTTGTCCAGTAATCATCAGAGAGGCTTCCTCTGATCACAGATGGGAACAGGTGCAGAGACCCACAGTCAGACATTATGTAGAGAGAGAGTCTAATTGGAGGTCTCCATCAGGTGCCTCCCCTCAGAGATAGAGAAACCCCATGGAAGAGGAGGAGGAAAGACAGTAGGAGTCAGAAGGGAAAGAGGACGGACACCAGGAGAACATGGGCTCACACAGACTGAAGTGACAAACATGGGGCCTGCAAGGGTCTGCACCAGGTCCTTTGAATATGTTTTAGGACTCCTAGCTTGGGACTCCTGTGAGAGCAGGTGTGTCTCTGACTCTTTTGCCTGCTCTTGCGACTCTTTTCTTCCTATTGGATTGTCTTGTCAAGCCTCTATATGAAGGCTTTTACCTTGTCTTATTATAACTTGTTTTGTTCTGTTTGGCTGTTGTCTCTTAGAGGCCTGCTCTTTCATGGAAAATAAACAGAAGGGGGTGTAGATCTGAAGGAGAGAGGAGGTAGGGGAGAGCTAGGAGGAGTGAAAAGGAGAGGAACTGTGGATGGGATGTATTTTATGAGAGAATCTATTTTCAATGTTTAAAAAGATTAAGAACCTAATAATTTGGATCATTTGTATTGTTTTTGCAACTCCATCTTACTTCACTTTCTGATAAACCAGTCCCTATATCCTCACCATTCCAGTCATTATCAAATTGTTTCTTTTCAATAACTAACTGATAAAGACATCATTAAGTTTGAAAATAGAATCATAATAGCAGTGGAAGCTACAGCTTCAAGTCAAGTAAATTGGTCATAACTGATCTCAAATTCAAAATCTTGCATTAAGTCCCCAATAGCTTTTATTCACTCACTATTCAATGGACTAATCTGAAGTCTCAGGTACTGTTTGTCACAATATAGATATAGTTGTAATAAGTAGATCACAGCCCTGACTTTGTGGTGCTTATATTAGGATAGCAGTGGGGAGTAAGAATAGTATGTCATGTTGTTATGTGTGAGTCAGGGAAATGGAGCACACCTAAAGAAGTAGGAGTATCTTCCATGTAAAGTCCCAAATTCTCAGTGTGGGTCACAAAAGTTAATTATTTAGTCATTTGCTTTTCACAACACTTGACAGTGCATTTCATGCCTCCTCTTTCTGAAGTTCTTTCTCTTTGATCCAGTAACTACTAACCTTCTAAAGTAATTTGGCATAATCTCCTTCAGGAACCTCAGACAACAGCAAATTCTTCTTCGCACATCAGAGCACTTTAAATTTGTCACAACATGGAAAATGCACTCTGTTGTCTTGTCAGCATGCATTTCTTTCATCTTCAAATACATAGCAAGCTCACTAATAGCAAAAATGCACTACTTCATTTGGATTCAGTAAGACTGAATACAAATACTGAATTACTATTTAAGAAAGAAGTTGATAAGACATGAGATGCCATTTCAGCTATCACTTCTGCTATCAGATGAATGCGAACTGCAGAACTGCAGCTGGCAAGGCAACACTTTTCATTCACTGTTATTGCAATCATTAACTGGAATACAACATTTGGAAGTTAATTCACTAATATCATCCCAGCAGTTCTGAGTGATAACACTCCATAAATACTCTATAAAGTGGATGAATGATTGGTGAAATAAGTCACCTCAGGTATGCAAATTAAACTTGACAATCAGGAATGAGAAGGAAATTAGAGTACTTTATAAAAGTAAATTCTGAAAATATACTAAATTATATACCAAAACAGAATTATCAATTTTAAAGTTGAGCTTTCTGCAAAAGTTATAAAAACTTTTAACATGAAGTAGCTAAAAACCATAGCTCTGTAAATGGACAGACTAGCACATTTGAAGCATTCCATTTTAAACAGCAGAAGCTTTCATCTTATTACTTGCTTGATCATTTTTTAAGCAATGACAGACTACTAAGTAGACATTAATTTATAGTAATTTTATTTTATTCAGTCTTCATTCTCTTTAAACCAAACCTATGGTTTAAAAAGAATTTAAATTCAAATGCAGCAGAGCCTTGCTTATAATCAGTCTTTGGTAGAAGAACAGATACTTTGCCTTTGAAACTCAAAAATAGAACCTTGATTATTAAAATAGAATTACTTTTTCAAAATAGAATCCCATCTTACATTTTCAAATGACTGAGGCCCACTTTTAAAAAGTACAACAAATGCTGTGGGTAGAGAGAACTAAGGAGTATCTTCCCCAGAAAAAGAAAAATATCTTCTGGCAGATGATGCAGTATGTGCATGAGTGCTGTCAGAAAGAGAAGGCTTTTGCCAGGTAGGAGGTAGGATGCTAGGTCAGGTTCTACTTCGGCCTTTATACAAACTTTGTCACCTGTGCACACATTAACATCTTCTACGTCTTCTATTTCAGAGTTCTCCTTACAGTTCATGTTGCTAAAGCAGCTGCATTGAAAATGTTCATAAAAATACTCCAGGTCTCCAACTGTGGGGCTGCCACGGATTTCATACTTTCCATTGTTCGTTAATTCAATACGTAAATGACTTGGGTTCAAGTGAAGATATACATCTGAACTTTCATTTTTCCTTGAACACACACCTTTTTCCTCACAAAGTGTTTGGCTGCACATTTTGGCTGCTAGGGTAACGTTGATTATATACGGATTCAGGGTTGTCTCGAGGTATTTATGTAGGATTGGGCAACCTGGCTGTAAAATAATAAGGCAGTCAACATGACAAGGCATAACTTCATGCATGAACAGATGACTATAGTAACTCTTAAAGAAGAAAGAAGCATCAGACCAAACAAGTGGTAGGAAATACTCTGTTTCACTTTAACAAGCAAGGTTATTCCAACTAATTTTGTAATCTGTAAGTTTATCAGGTCATTGAAGAATTGTTTAGATGGGACTTAACTATCCTAGTCTTCATCTTCCCCAATACTTCACGAATTAATCAATAGAATGGGGTATTATAGCTGTTAGATGATGGGCTTTGAAGCTATCTTGCCCGATAGGAGTACCACCTTCATTAATGACCATGTCTGCCAATCTAAGATATCGCAAGCTTTCTAAATCTTAGTTTAATATGTCTCAAGCTTTCTAAATCTTAGTTTAATATCACATCATGAAAATTAAGTATCTTGGTTATGTTTCTGTTTCATCAATTTTAAATTAGGGATGATTTTGAGCCTTACCTCATGGGCTTATTGTGAAGATAAATGATAAGATATATATGGGACCTACCATTTCTTCAGTTAACTCTCAATAAATCACAAAAAAAATGTAACAAGAATTCCATTTGTCAGATGGGTTTAAACATCACTAAATATAGTTCCAAAACTGATGGCTCAAATGATCCACAGTCAAACATGTGTGTAATGACAGTCCTTAGACAAACTGTAGACAAGAGTGATAAGGAGCAGAAATGATCCATCTTAACAGTACTGTGTTCTAAAACTTGGACGTTGGCCTTTAAAACAAATTGAAGACAGTCTTGTTCTCTCATGATCAACAGTACTACTGAATGGATTGACTGTGGTAGCACATTGGCAAAAACAGCAGGAAATCTTTGAAGCTCTGACTTGAATCTACACTTGATATTTTCCTTGTGTTGAAATTCCTTATTATTGTGTCAGGAATTGCCTGGCAAAAGTATCTGCCCTCCAGTCCCCAGAGCCTGAGACTATGTAAGTTTACAATAAAGGAGACTGTAGATATGATTGGAAATTTTTGGTTGACAAGGGAAGACGATCTTGAGTTGTTTAAGAGGGCTCAATATAATGAAACAAGATTTTGTAAGTATATAAATATTTCCAACTTTGTTCATAGATAACATGGGCAGAGCCTGTGAGACAAAAGTGTAAGAAAAATTGTATCTGTGCAGAAGAGTATGGTGGCACACTCCAGTAATCCCAAGAGACTCCAAGGGATTAAGAGTTCAAGGTTATACTCAGCTACATAGTAAATTAATAGCTAACCAGCATATGCTACATGGGACTCTGAAAACATACATACAAGTAACATTATATGGCTTGAGTGGGTTATATTTAGGAATATATATCTATATACATATAAGTATATAATAACAATTAATGGAAAAGAGGTCATTAATTTGAAGAAGAGTAGGGAGGGGTATTTGGGAGCATTTGGAAGAAGGACAAGGAAGACAGAAATACAATTATATTGTAATTATAATATAAATAAATAAGTAAATAAAATCAATGAGTCACTACTACTAACTCTATAGCAGAAGAAAAGATATATGACCTTGCTACAAGCTGCAGAAATATGAAGTAGGAATTCAGCTGACTATGGCCAAAGTTATTACCTAAAAGAGTTAAGAACTGTTCCAGAGGATAAAGCCAAGTGTTAAGGAGTCTTGGTGATATTGGCTTTTGAATATTAGCCATTTCCTGCAATGAATTTCTCATGTGCTATTGTCACTTTCCCATTCCTAGAACAATGTGTTTGATCATTCATTGGGCACAATTTCTCCTATACAATTAAAGTATTTGGATAACATCTCCCAACTGTGCTAACAGCAGTCACACAGCCAGACCCCTAACTTCAGACCTTTCTATAATTATCATCATTAGCAACATCCAGCCTCCATCTTCAGATGTATTTTATCTGAGATACTTCCTAGACTTTCTAAGTACAGACCACAGATAGATAATATCCAGACTATCTGTTAGAGAAGGCCAGGTGGATGTGCTAATTAAGCTTAACTCTCATCTCTTCCAAGGGCTATCTCCAGCTCCAGATCTCTCTTTAACAATTAACTCAGAACTAGAACTAAAGGGCTTTTACATACCAGGTACATCAAGCTGTGGTGCAGATTGCCTAGCTACCAAGCAGACTTGCCCCATCCAAGCAGAAAGCAATGGAGCCAGAGAACTGCAGACTGTATGTATATTTAAACTGGACTGGGGAGAGAGGAAGGAAAGAAGAGAAAGAGAACTACAAGAACAAGATGGAAGATGGGGAAGAACAAGATGAGGAAGAACTGTATGAGGAAGAACAAGATGAGGAAGAACTGTATGAGGAAGAACTAGATGGAAAAGAAGTAGATGGGAAAGAACTAGATGGGAGAATTAAGACAGAACTTAAGGATAAATGTAGAGAGAAATCAGGCAAGAAAGGAGCTAAGTATGAGAGCAGAAAAGAAGCTGTGTAGGAAGAGAACTGACTCAGAAGAATAAAGTGAATGAACTAAAGAGTTTTGTGTACGTAGATTTATTTATTATCATCAAAGATTAGATTATCAGCTGATTGTAGATTCTTCCACGGACCCTGGGAAAAGGCTATCAAGGGGCTGGACCCCAACAGTCTTTGCTACCTGTTGCCACAAACAGATTTGGTACTCGGGGGACTGATAGGAAGCGGGGTTTGGAGCATACCCAGGGAGAAAGGTATCGCTTCACAGAGAGTTGCCCAGTTAGAGGCTCAACTCTTCTGAAGGTACAATTTTTGGAGACCTCCAGAGTATCAACTACAACCAGACCTCCCTCACAGAAGGGTGCTATGAACCCTGGGGACACTGATACCTCAGTTTGGAGTGGTGAGATAGGACCTTAAAAAGCCCCAAACTTCTAGAAGATAGAAGTGATGACAAACGTGATATATACTTACTCATAAATGAATATTAGACACAAAGTGAAGGATAACCAGGCTACAATCCACAATCCTAGAGAAGCTAAGTAAAGAGGAGGACCCTAAGAGGGACATGTATGGATCACCCCAGGAAGGGAAAAGGGTTAAGATCTCCTGGGTAAACTGGGAGGGGGAAGTAGAGGACAGGGGATGGGGGTGGAAATATAAGAGTTCAAGATGGCCGAGTTGGAGGAGGAACAGAGAATGAGAGCAATGAGAGATATCTTGACAGAGTGAGCCATTATGAGGTTAGGGAGAAATATGGTGCTAGGGAAATCCCCAGGAACCCACAAGGATGTCCCCAACTAAGACTCATAGCAATGGTGCAGAAGGTGCTTGAACTAACCTCCCCCTGTACTTAGATTGGCGACTACCCTAATTGTCATCATAGAACCTACATCCAGTGACAGATGAAAGAAGATTCAAAGACCCACAGGCAAGCACTTGGTCAATATCCTGGAGTTCAGTTGAAGAGAGGGAGAAGGGATTATAGGAGTAAGGGGGCATCAGGATCATAATAGGAATAACCACATAAACAGCTGGTCCAAACTAGTGGGAGCTTATGGACTCTATACTGACAGCTGGGAAGTCCACATGGGAATGCACTAGACCCTCTGAATGAGGGTGACAGTTGTATGGCTTGATCTGTTTGTGGGTCCCCTGGCAAGGGGACTAGGACTCATCTGAAGTACATGAACTGGCTTTTTAGAGCCCATTCCCTATGGTGTGATGCTTTACTCAGCCTTGATGCAGTGGGGAGGGGCTTGGTCCTGCCCCAACTTGGTATGCCAGTCTGTATTGAATACCCAAGGGAGGCCTTACCCCCTGTGAAGAGTGGATGGGGTAGGATGGGAAGACCAGGGTGGTGGGAGAGCAGGATAAGGAGAGGGAAGGAGAACAGTGGTTGGTATGTAAAATGAAAAATAAATAATAAAAAAGAATACACACAAAGAAAGAAAGAGAAAGGAAGGAAGGAAGAAGGAAGAAAGAAAGAAAGAAAGAAAGAAAGAAAGAAAGAAAGAAAGAAAGAAAGAAAGAAAAGAAGAAAAGAAGAAAGAGAGGACCCTCAATCAACAACCAGTCAGATGAAGAGAGAGACAAGGGTTAGACAAAATTCAGACTAGAGAAATGAGGATGATTTGATTGTCATTTTATTTGTACACTACAGAAAGATTTGAACTGGCAATCTAAGAGATACTGCATAATTATACCTACAATGGCCAACTTCATATTACCAGTCAATAAAAGTAAACACAGAGTTGGGAGCTGAGCACACTATTATATAGTATGAGCATGTGAAGTGTTCCACCCATGTAGATACTACAGACACTCACACCCTGAGGCATTAAGATGCACACGAAATGAAACAGCTGGCATATTTTGAGCATTAGTTATTTGGGGTTTTAACACAATTTATCTTATTGTCTTTCTACCCTTTAGTTTTAATAATGACTGTGTTTTACAACTGGCTCACAAATTTCCTGAATATTAAAAAATCAAGTTTCATAATGCAGAACTGATAGAGCTGGCTTCTTCACGCCTCTAGGTGGATAAAGTGGAGTGATGGGAAATGGCTTACTTGACACTTTCTATGGAAAGTTATAGCAAGTGAAAAAGAAAATAACTGACTATGAGGACAATGGGATAGGAGCTGATGGGGGAAATGGCTTAGTTTGTAAAATTCTTTCTGTGCAAACACAATTACTGATCCCCAAACCTTCTTCAAAAAGGCAGGCACAGTGTCATTTGTGTTTAAGCCCCTCAATGGGGAGGTGGAGACAAAAGAATCCTTAGGGATGGCTGGCCAGACAGTATAGCTAAGCTGCTGAATTCCAGGTTCTGTATAATTAACTCCCTCTCTCTTTAGAGATAAGGTAGAGAACAATTAAGGAAGATGAGATCTTGCCTCTGTTTCTACTCGTGCACGCATGTACACACACACACACACACACACACACACACACACACACACACACTCACACCACTATACTTGCATTTACCATTTTGTCAGTGAACCTGAGGAAATAGAACAAGTGATCCATAACAACACTAATCAAAAGTGACACAAAATGAAAGAGGGGTAATGATAACGCTAAAAATGACTGTGAATTGGGGGAAGAAGCAGAAATCTATAGAAAAGGGTCTATAGGGAACAATGTCAAGGCAGTACCTAAAATGGAAAATAGTGACATTGAAGTCTGTCCCTGAGTGAATCATATGGCAGATCTTTAGAGGGATTGGTAAAACAATGGACAGCTAAGATTAAAGTGACATTAAAAACAAATGTGACACTGAAGAGTGACCCTCCCAACCTACTCACTGTGAATGCCTGATTGATTCCTCCTCAGAGGAAAAGTGGAGCTCTCAATTCTTTTAATTTTAAGGAGGTAGTACATAGAAATCATAAATGGACTCATCAACAAATTAATATCCTTGAGAAAGGCATTTAGAATTTTGGAAGAACAACCATAAGAACTTGGAATATACCCTGGAAGATTATAATTTTAAGACAGTTTTCTGTGATTCAAAGATTTTACTGACATACATATACCTGTACCTGACTGCATTTTCTGTTAGTCACTTTCTATTGATCAAACTAAAAATAATAAAGTCAAACAAAATGGGCAGAGAGGGTCAGAGGACTGTGAAATACATCTATTTTTAATAGTTTTAAATGAAGCATTTTGCTATTCCGTCTAAATGTTAATATCCATGGCATATGCAACTACATGTTAACAATGTTTACATTCAAATATACATACACACACACTTTTATTTAATAGTATTGTGGAAATGGGAATAAATACTTGATATGTGGAAATAAATAAATCATAGATACCTGTTGTCTGACATAAAACATCACGTCAGAAAACTGAAATGGTAGTCCTAGTTTTGTTACTTACAAACCACGGAGTCTAGAGAACTTCAGAGAATTCACTGAATGTCTCATTCCTTACTGGAAGACAAGCACAACATTTTCTACTTCATAATAAAAGATGTAACACAACATGATTCAGCCAATGCTGAGCATCTACTGCTTGCCAGGCATAGGACTAATTTCCTTAACACCAAGTCTTCAGAAACATTGAGGATAGAACGATTTTCTATTTCCTACCAATTCAACTTACCGCACGCTGTGCTAAAGTCATAGCATCCCATAATATAATCCCAGCGGGACCCAGAGCAACAATTTCACCAATTGTATTCACAAGGTCCTCCTGGCAAAGGTAATAGAAAGAATTAGCAGGGAGGGAAACATAGAAGCATTTACACGGACAACACCAGCAAACTACGCAGGCTGAACCAACAATAACACTTTAAACATTTCTATACTCTTTAAATCTTTTTACTGTGGCATTCCTTTACTATTTAAAAAGAGGCTATTGTTGTAATTATTTTTCCTGGAAATATTCATAAAATAAAAATAAAAGTTAAAATATCATGTATATTTTCATCACCCTTTACTATAGCCACAAATGACATAAAATACCTTGGAGTAACACTAACCAAGCAAGTGAAGGACCTATATGACAAGAACTTTAAGTCCCTGAAAAAAGAAATTGAAGAAGATGTCAGAAAATGGAAAGATCTCCCATGCTCATGGATAGGCAGGACTAACATAGTAAAACTGGCAATCTTACCAAAAGCAATCTACAGATTCAATGCAATCCCCATCAAAATACCAACACAATTCTTCACAGACCTGGAAAGAATAATACTCAACTTCATATGGAAAAACAAAAAACCCAGGATAGCCAAAGGAATCCTGTACAATAACACAACCTCTGGAGGCATCATGATCCCTGACTTCAAGTTCTACTATAGAGCTAGAGTAATAAAAACAGCTTGGTACTGGCATAAAAACCGACATGTGGACCAATGGAATCAAATTGAAGACCCTGACATTAATCCGCACACCTATGAACATATAATTTTTGACAAAGAAGCCAAAAGTGCACAATGGAAAAAAGAAAGCATCTTCAACAAATGGTGCTGGCAAAACTGGTTATCAACATGTAGAAGGCTGCAAATAGATCCATATCTATCACCATGCACAAAACTTAAATCCAAGTGGATCAAGGACCTCAACATAAATCCAGCTACTCTGAACCTGCTAGAAGAGAAAGTAGGAAGTAGTCTTGAACGCATTGGCATAGGAGACCACTTCCTAAATAGAACACCAGTAGCACAGACACTGAGAGAAACAATCAATCAATGGGACCTCTTGAAACTGAGAAGCTTTTGTAGAGCAAAGGATATGGTCAACAAGGCAAAGCGACAGCCTACAGAATGGGAAAAGATCTTCACCAACCCCACATCTGACAGAGGACTGATATCCAGAATATATAAGGAATTCAAGAAATTAGACATCAAAATGCCCAACAGTCCAATTAAGAAATGGGCTATAGAACTAAACAGAGAATTCCCAACAGAGGAAACTCAAATGGCCGAAAGACATTTAAGGAATTGCTCAACATCCCTAATCATCAGGGAAATGCAAATCAAAACAACTCTGAGATACCACCTTACACCTGTCAGAATGGCTAAGATCAAAAACACTGAAGACACCTTATGCTGGAGAGGATGTGGAGCTAGGGGAACTCTCCTCCACTGCTGGTGGGAATGCAAGCTTGCACAACCACTTTGGAAATCAATATGGCGCTTTCTTAGAAAATTGGGAATCCATCTCCCCCAAGATCCAGCTATACCACTCTTGGGCATATACCCAAGGAATGCTCAACCACGCCATAAGAGCACTTGTTCAGCTATGTTCATATCAGCATTGTTTGTAATAGCCAGAACATGGAAACAACCTAGATGCCCTTTAACTGAAGAATGGATAAACAAAATGTGGTACATATACACAATGGAATACTACTCAGCAGAGAAAAACAATGACATCATGAGGTTTGCAGACAAATGGATGGATCTAGAAAAAATCATCCTGAGTGAGGTAACCCAGACTCAGAAAGACAAACATGGTATGTACTCACTCATAGGAGGATACTAGATGTGGAACAAGGATGACTTGTCTGCTACTCACATCACCAGGGAGGCTACCTGGAAAACAGGACCCCAAGAAAGACACGGGGATCGCCCAATGACAGAGAAATGGAATGAGATCTACATGAACAGCCTGGACATGAGTGGGGTGAGAGTCTAGGGAAAGAGAGCTTGGGGGAGCGGGAGATCCCAGCTGGATCAACAACAGAGAGGGAGAACAAGGAATAGGAGACCATGGTAAATGAAGACCACATGAGAATAGGAAGAAGCAAAGTGCTAGAGAGGCCCACAGAAATCCACAAAGATACCCCCACAACAGACTGCTGGCAATGGTCGGGAGACAGCCCGAACTGACCTACTCTGGTGATGGGATGGCCAAACACCCTAATTGTCGTGCTAGAAACCTCACCCAACTACTGAGGGATCTGGATGCAGAGATCCATGACTAGGCCCTGGGTGGATCTCTGGGAGTCCAATTAGTGAGAATGAGGAGGGTTTATATGAGCAATAATTGTTGAGACCAAGGTTGGATAAAGCACAGGGACAAATAGCCAAACGAACGGAAACACATGAACTATGAACCAATGGCTGAGGGGTCACCAACTAGATCAGGCCCTCTGAGTGGGTGAGACAGTTGATTGGCTTGATCTGTTTGGGAGGCATCCAGGCAGTGGGACCGGGTCCTGTGCTCATTGCATGAGTCGGCTGTTTGAAACCTGGGGCCTATGCAGGATCGCTTGGCTCAGCCTGGGAGGAGGGGACTGGACATACCTGGACTGAGTCTACCAGGTTGATCTCAGTCTGTGGGGAAGGCTTTGCCCTGGAGGAGATGGGAATGGGGGGGGGGGGCTGGGGGGAAGGTGAGGGGGGCAGGAGGGGGGAGAACAAGGGAATCCGTGGCTGATATGTAGAACTGAATTGTATTGCAAAATAAAAATAAATAAATAAATAAATAAAAATATCATGTATATTTTATGATTCTCCGTGGCTGCTAACCGGTCGTATGATTACAATAAGCATTAAAAATGTAGTAATTTTATCTCTTTTGGAGAACATAGAATTAGCCCTGTGTATATTCCTATGTGACATATGAAGCTGAATTACGTGTCCTTTAAAAATAGCACTAATTTCCAGTAAGCATTATTTGTGAACACTAGGTCAGAGATGCTGTGCACAGTTTGTTTACCTGCAGAAGGTATTCAGTAATGTTATCAGTAAAAACAACACGGATATAGACAAAAATCGGGACAGGATCTTTTTCATTCCGAACTTTGGACACTCTGATAGATTCCACTACTCGGAAGCGGACATAGAGTGTTGCTTGTCGATTCGACTTCAAGTCTCTCTTCAAATAGACGGATGGGTAAAGGCCAGTGCTTTCTCTCCACATCCAGCTAAGATCATCATTTCTTTGCTTTTCCACATCAGGGCATTTCCCATCATAATTTGGGTTTTGAAACTTATTGTTATAACAATCAGGAAACAGATAATAACCCCATAAGTGTTTTGGTCGAACCGATTTCCCCAGTTTTAAAGTCTCTTCCATGAACTTTTTTCCTGCCTCTTCAAATTCCTGTTTGGCTTTCTTGGTGGCATCTGAGATACTAATTCCTGCATTATTTGTCTGGACCAAGTCAATAGACTTGTTCCTGTAGATATCCTTGGGTCTCCAGTTTCTCAACCAGGTAGGCCTCCATTCTTCCCAGTCAATGACAGCTAAGCCTAAACGGTCTGTTGGGATGTAATGCTCAATGTCAGTCCTAGCTTTGGACAGATGATCTTGCAAATTCCCCAACTGAGGTATTCCTCCATGATGTTCTGCCATTTTTGTATCTATGTGAGGGTAGAGGCCAAGTCGATCAACATAAAACAGTGTAACAGGCTGCCCTGTGGCAGTTTTTCGGGGACTCCCGATTAAAGGGAAGAGGCTCAAATCTATTGAATGATTAAATGCTCCAATACAAGCTTCAGTTGGGACATTCCAGACCCAAAGGAAAGTCTCATTTGGCAAAATTGGCGCTGCCCTATAATCCACCGCAGTCAAGGAACATGGAATCAGAAGGAAGATTATTAACACTGACTGGAATGTTCCCCCAGACTCAACAAAGCTCCCCCAGTAGAGGTGCTTAAATCTCAGCCCTCCCATTGGAGAGAGCAGTTACTGTGTAAACACTTATTTCTTGTTGCACACTTAGGTTTGTCCAGTATTTGATGCAAACGATGAGGAAAACAGTGACATGTAGTCACCCTAAGAGATGACAGTAGGGTGACTGCTTTCTATTGAAGATTCTTCTTCTTGTGTCACGTTTCAGGAATGTTTTGCAGCAAGTTCAATCATCCAGAACTGAAAAAAAAGACAAATATGGAATTCACTGTAGCCATAATGAGAGTTTTACCAAGTCCAATTTTATGCATGGAGTTTAAATGAATTCCAAAAGATGGAAGACTTTATTTAAACTATTTAAAGCAGAAAGATGTTTTTCCCTGTTTGGTAACAAATTCTGTAGCAGTCAGCACTTAGTTAATCTTCAAAAATCATTCCTGATCCAAAAAAGAACTGAATGTAACTATCTTTCTTATTTCATTCCCAGGTATATAGGATGCTATATCTATGAATACTTTAGAAAAATACCAGTTAGAGGTATATAAATTTGTATGTATTGGTTGTGAAAAACCACTCTGTCATGATCTGCCAAATTTTGAAAACAACATGTCGCAGAATTTGATTTCTTTTTCATTTTTGTGATTCTTGTGTGTGTGTGTGTGTGCGTGTGTCTGTGTGTCTCTGTGTGTGTGTGTGTGTGTGTGTGTGTGTGTGTGTGTGTGTGTGTGTGTGTGAATGTGAGAGTGGTATTTCTAACTGAACCTAAGACCTTGCATATGCTAGGCAAACACTGAAATGAGTTATATCTTCAGTAATTTGTTTGTTTGTTGACTTATTCATTGGATCATGTACTAAGTTTCCCTGGATAGCCTGGAACTCATAATTCTTCTGCCTCAGCCTCCCAAATACATGTGATTATCTGTGTACAACCATCCCTGCTTGCAACTTGGTCTTTCTTCCCACTTTATTTGTATTTTTCCTGTAGAGGACAATATGAAAGAAAGGAAAAGTCACTTTTTTCCCCACAGGTAATAATTCAAAGTAAGTTTTAGAACTCTGCTAAATCAAATTTTACAGTGATGTCTTCTAGCTATTAAAATTAACAAACTATTATATATTGATTGCCTCTAGTCTTGTTAAATAAAAATAAGATAGGAATTCTGGTCTTTAAAGGCTGTTTCAAAAGCAAGACTGTGTTGTCATTCTGACTGATGACAAACTGAAGTGTAACAGAAATGAAATGGTCTATGGTAAGAACCAGAGATTGAAAATGAAGGAAATTCTGCATTAATTAAATTGTCCCTTAATCTTGTCAACAAGAGATTGCTAACAAATTTGCTGTTGTTTTACCCTCAACAAATATCATTTGTCTCATGTTGATAGACAATAGGAGCCACAGGAGTGTTGTTCAATCAGCCCCTGAACCTGAAAACACTTCTGGATGAATCTAACTAGAAGGCCAGTAAGAGCGCAGCTTAAATATTGTAAAGGCACAATGAAGACTCATTACATATACGGTGATCTAAGAAAGTGATGGTTAATCCTACACCTAGCACTGTTTTCCAATTTGAAAGTCACAACTATCAGTCATCCACCCAGCACAAATTCAGTTCCATAGCTGTAATGGACATGTGTAAAAGAAATAATAACTGAAGTCGATTGAAGTAGAGTAAGGATAAGCGAGGGTAGAAAGGGGTAGAGTGGGAGGTACCCGAAGAGCAGGGCAAATAATAAGGGTGTAATCACATGGGCACTTTTTTTGTTATCCTGTGTCAGGAAAAAAAAAATCTTTTACTCTCTCTTCTCACGTATCCAGCACAGAAGATTCCTGTGAGCTTAAAAAGTGTGGAGGTTTCTCTTTATCTACAAACAATGAATTTTACAAAAGACACCAATTAGGTATCCTCAAATCCAGTCTAACTCTGACACTGTCTTCATAGAGATATAGCTCATGAGCTGAAGAATTCCTCTTCCCCACATCAGGAGGCCGTCACAAAGTGCAGGTGATTTTTATCAACTGGCTATACACTAAGTTTCCCATGGTCCTCTCTTTGGATTTCATTAATTTCCATAAACACAGAACTCTAGGAAACAGGTTTAGCAGATTGTCACCATGGGTGCTGCAAAGGACAAGAGTGGAAAGATGCATCGGGTCAAATGTGAGAGACACAGGACAAGGTTGCACCCTTCCCCAGGTGAAACTCCATCCAGGAATCCTCATGTGAGCTGTAACCTGAGAACTCCCAAATTCTGTGCTTTCGGGTTTCCACAGTGACTTTATTGCATAGGCATGACAGAAGGAAACATTGATAACTGTATAAAATGAGACAAGACAAGATAGGAAAGAGCTAATACCTGTAAACTGGTGTCAAGGCCTGCCACATCCCTTGGTCTCTTTGTGGAACCCCTCCCACCATACTCAGTATGGAACAACATCTTTGGAAAAAGGAGTCCTACGTCTCGTTATGAGAGAGAGTGTATGACCCATTCAAAAGCAAAATCTAGAAAAATTAGTTTCTATGACCTGCCTGGAGGAAGAAAAAAATTCTTGTACCAGAGGGAAAAAAAGAACCAGGAACTAAGGCTGGAAACCACAACTTATGTACAACAATGTCATAGTTACACATTGATTTGTTTATGTACTGAGTACAGTGATATAAATCACCTTGATAGACATATATCAGATTGTATGAACTAGTTTGCTATGCAAAATCTTTTGAACCTGAAACATTTAAATTTGAATCTTTAAAGAGGCCACTCTTGGACTGGAGAGATGGCTGAGAGTTTAAGAGCACTGGCTGCTCTTCCAGAGATCCTGAGTCCAACCCTAGCAAATACATGGTGGCTCACAACCATCTATAATGAGATCTGGTGCCCTCCTCTGGCCTGCAGGCATACATGGAGGCAGAACACTGTATACATAATTAGTAAATAAATAAATAAATCTTTTTTTTAAAAAAAAAAAGGCCAATCTCTAATTAATTGTTATTTATTGTCTTCAGTTTAATCTCTTCAACAATCAGAAAATAATGCTTACCTATCTGAGTTTTCCTTAACTAATGTCTGTAATCTCCATACTGCACTAAACAACTGAATTTTCTTTATAGGACCAACAGGTATACAGTCTGACTCAGTCTCAAAGTCAGCTCACCTAGACATATAACTTTGCCTCATTTCAGAGATTTTTCCCCTTTCATCTTTAACTACAAATGTGGATTATAAAGAACTATAGGCATAGGTCCCTTATGATATCATATGTATATAAAGCTCTTAGGATAATGACTGTGAAGAAATTAATAATACACCACCCTAAAACACAGTGATATGGCATCAAACTAATAAGGATTAATCAAATATATAGGAGAGAAGAGCTTTCTGATCCATCACAGAGCAAAATATCCATTGCATAGAGGATAGCCTCCTTGTACTAAGAACACATCTCATAACTGGACAATGAGTGGCTGTTAAAATAACTCAGTGCTGACAAACTTACTGTACACCCCATATTGTCAACTGGTTTCTACATATGCCTCCAGGTCATGTCCTCACTCATTACTTCCTCCAGAAGTTCTCACTTATTCTACATAATTATTCTTTGCTTTAAAAGCCTATTAGGACTTGGTCATAGATATTTCTTTAGAGCAATAATTCTGAATCCTTTTGGCAAACTTCTATCTCCCAAAGAAATATTTAGATTATGTTTCATAACACTAGCAAACTTACAGTTATGAAACAGCAACAAAAACAATTTTATGATTGGGGGTCACCACAACATAAGGAACTGCATTAGGAAGGTTAAAAACTACTGCTCTACAGTTTTGTGGTGGTTTGAAAGAAAATGGCCCCCAAAGCAAGTGGCACTATTTGGAGGTGTGACCTTGTTGGAAGAAGTTCTGTCACTGTGGGGCCTGACTTTGAGGTTTCTTTTCTCAAGCTTCCCTCAGTGTGACAGTAAGTCAAATTCCTGTTTACTCTGAGTCAAGATGTTGGGATCTCAGTTCCAGCACCACATCTGCCTGCAAGCCATCATGCTCCCCATCCTGATGATAATGGACTGGAATTCTGAAACTGTAAGAGAGCCACTCTCAATTAAATGTTTTCTTTACAAGAGTTTGCCATGGTCATGCTGTCTCTTGACAGCAATAGTCAACCACATTACAGGTTTCATTACTTTTCCTATGATGTTTCCTATGTATGTGAAAAAAAATATTGAATAATGTTCTTTGCTCCTATTTACCTGTCAGTTCAAATCATCATGCTCCCCAAATCAGAACTTCAGGGACAAAATAAGGCTTGTTTCTTTTGCTTTGGTTCTAGCAGAATGGGTTACCATTGCCTGAGATAGAAGGCTTACTCCACAGACTGCAGCAGACATTTTGGAGACATTAGAGCCAGCAAAAGGCAAGATGTTGTTACTACATCAACCTCCCAGAGCTCTGCCTGTAGAGAATGGACAATTAAAGCAAAGCTGTCACTGGAGCACGCTCACTTGCTGAAGAGGAAACTGCTCTTCTTTCTCTGACTCATCTGTCCTTTTAAAGTCTGTCATGCTGATAATAGTATCTGGAAACCTATGGATTTTTCATCTCTTCTGATATTCCAATTACAAATGGACATATAATTGCTATGGTGTTTCAAACCATGTTGGGCTAAGGTATGAGAGGCAATTGATTCTGCCCTCGCATTCACATTCTGACCAAATTCTTTCAACATCCACTAATTGCAACATAACTACATTTCTGGAGGTTACCACCACACCTGAGGGAATCCTCCAAGCCTCACCCTGCCCTGAAGATACTCCAATTGATTTTATAAATCTGCCTTCTGCCCTTGGCAAGTCCCACTCTTTGTTCATTGTCTGCATGTTTGGTGAATGGATTAAATACAAATTGAAATAACCATGCTGACATTATGACAGTAAGACAATTTTAGCAACTGAGAGCATTCATCAGCTTTGGTATTCTTTATGGATTGAATTTGTCTAAAGGACTCATTTTTTCAATGTGGATAAACCACTTGCTTCCAAAGCATTTGTGGTATTC